TTTCAGTTCTGTAGAATTCCATTTAGGGTTAAAAACAGGACTGTCTCATCCCAGAGAGCTATTGACAGAATAAAGAAAGAAAACCTATGCAGTACGTTCTTTTTCATCGACGACATCACAATCACAGAGCGCACGCAGACACCACACGACCAAAACGTAAAGAAGTTCCTAGAGGCTATTACGAATGCTAAACTTACCTTCAACAATTCGAAATCTGTGGTTTCGGTACGCTCCATCAATGTGTTGGGATAGTGTGTCGGCGGTGGAGTTATTAAGCCCAACCCAGAAAAAATTCGTCCCTTATGAGGGTTACCTCCACCAGAAAACTCGAAATCATTAAAAAGGGCGCTGGGCATGTTCACATATTATGCGAAATGGATAAACAAATTTTTAAAAAATTCGGCCATTTATATAAACTAAAAAAAATTCCACTTGAGAAGAGGGCACTCGAAACTTTCAATCAATTAAAAAAAATGGGGAGGCCGCACTACAACCAATAGAGAAAAGCATACCTTTCGAATTTGAGTGTGACACGTCAGACGTTGCCATTTCTGCCGTCTTCAACCAAGGCAGACACCCAGTAGAATTCATGTCAAAAACACTATAGGGGAGTGAGTTAAAAATAAAATGTCACAGAGTAGAGAAGGTGACGGCAATTATTGAGGTGGTTCGTAAGTGGAACCACTATCACGACAACATTTCACCCTAAGATCAGTGGCCTTCATGATTAACAACGAAAGGTGTACCAAAATTAAAAATGCCAAGATTCAGGAGTGGCTGTTAGAACTTGCAGCATTTGACCACACGATAAAATACCGTCCTGGCAAAGAGAATGTGGTTCCTGACACATTTAGCCGAGCTTATGCTTGTCCAGCCATTACCATTTAAACCCTCACCGACATTCACAATGGACTATACCACCCGGGAATTACTCTAATCGGTGAAGAAAAGGAAAGAGGAAGAGAGGGGGGGAGTACTTACGGACGGGTTGCTTCAGCCTCAGGGGAATTGTGTCCAGCTAAACTGGAAGCAAGTGACCAACTGATATTTATGGTCTTGGTAGGAGGACGATTGTGGGAAGCGGTTAGCCTGCTTATAAAAATCGTCCTCCGTACTCTCACGAGATATATCTCTACCAGCCGACGCGTGACTAGTTAATAGTCCTGCTGAAGGATTATTACTTTTTTTTTTTTGGGTTACTAGACCTAGTTGGAGCAGGTCGAAAGAGGAGGACTCCTTTTGCAACCCTTAGTAGGCTATTGCTGCTCTCTTCTGGGTTCCACCCCACTTTTACTGTCGAAAGTTATTTTTTTCGACATATTGCAAAAGGAGCTTCTACACAAAATTGCTTTTTTTTGTTACCGACATTTTTTTAAAAAATGGATGTTACTCAAGAACAGCTCCTTCACAGGTTGACTGTTCTTAAAATCAAAGTCGAGGAACGACTGAAGTTGTGTCTTGGAGACAGAGTAACGCCTCATGTTTTCTCTGTCTTCCGAAAGGATATTCTGCAATACATCTTCGAAATAGAGACTTGTACCACAAAATTACAGCTGGGCTCCTTCCCCGAGACAGACTTGCTTGAGACCGAAGCTGAATGGGCGCCTCGACTAATGGAGTACCACCGAGAACTGGGCGATCTGGATGGTTCATTTTCTCTCAGTTGGATCCTGTTTCCCAGTCCTTTGGGGTTCCGTCAACACCGGGAAGAAGTTCGGCTTCCTTTGTTGTCAAACCTCCGCAAATACAAATAACGGGGCCCACCTTTAGTGGACTTGAGATGGCTGACGACCACATGACTTTTCAGAATTATTTGACGAGATTCGAAAACTGTGTAGTTGGCATGGCCAATGACTCTGAAAGATTAAACTTTCTGAAATGCTCCCTCCCCGACAGAGCTTTAAGAGTGGTTAACCATTTGAGTTGCACGGAGAACAACTATCGGTGTGCTCTTTCGGTGTTAAAGAGGGAGTATTTGGACATTGATGAGATGATCAACCAAATATTTCAGGACATCTTAGACGATGTCCCTAAAAGGGACACCTGCTATTCTGATCTGGGTGAATTCATCTCCAGGACTGCCTCTCTCTTGGAGGAGCTGTGGAACTCATTTTCTTGCGACTTTTCGGCGGACGATTCTTGTGGAGCTCGCCAAATGGCCAAGATTCTCTTCCAGAAATTTCCCAAAGAATTGAAGGGGGAAATGATAGGACTAACAGGTAAACGAATACCATCATTGTCTGTCATATTGGAACTTACAAGTGAGGCAGTCAAACAATTACGGGTTAAGGGAAGCGCGTCTGCTGCTTCTACATTCACCACTGGTCAGGGTTCTCAAAAAACCGCACGGAGGGCCACTGATACTACTTCCTTTCATGTGGATTCCAACAACCTGATTTACCTGATGAGTGTTCTCCAAGGACATGAATTCCCTTCAGAGGTTGAGTATCTAATGAAGCCAGTAGGAAGATCTGAACCCGTTAGAGTTCGTGCCTTGGATCTTTTTTTGGACTCAGATGGGTTAATCAGATCAATAGGAAGAATCGACCGATCTTCAAATCTTACCTATGAAATCAAGAACCCTATCCTGATAGGGAAACACCACCCAGTGACCAGACTTATTATTTTGGATTGTCATGTAAAGTGTTGTCATCTTAGAACTGGATCTACTTTGGCTGAGTTGAAGTGGAGCGGCTACTGGGGCCCTCATGGAAGACAGGCCGTCAACAAGGTTCTGGTGTCATGTGCCAGATGCAAACGATACAATTCTCGACCAGTACTGCCGAATACTGCAGCTAGCTTACCAACCCATCGAGTCAAATTTGAGGTCCCTTACCAGCATACAGGCATCAACTTCACTGGCCATTTCTAGGTGAATGATGGTAAGCAGGACAAGATGTACTTGCTCTTGTTCACGTGCTTGAATATCAGAGCAATACATATTGAGTTGGTTCCAGACATGAGTGTGCTATCCTTTTTTCAAGCCCTGGTTCGCTTCACCAACCAAAATGGAGTTCCGGAAGTAATCTATAGTGACAATGCTAAAACCTTTCTGGGAAGCGGAAGACTTTTTAGCCGCCTCTCTGTCTTCCAAGAATATAAAAGCAAGTATGGTTCCTGCCGGTTAAAACTAAAAACCATCCCTTTGTTTTCACCTTGATATGGGGGAGCATGGGAGCGTTGCATTAAAACGGTGAAGGATTGCCTTTTTAAGATTCTTGGCAGAGGTAAACTGGATTATTTTACCCTTCTGACAGTGGTCAACCGACCTCTGACCTATCAGGTGTCTGTTGATAACAATGCTGCGGCTATCACACCCAACATGTTCCTTAGGCCCAACAAGAGTCCGGGGCTGTTGTTGCCATTGAACAGGAATGGCATCGCTTCTGCAGTACCAGCCAGCAGAAAAAGTCTCGTGGAGGCAATGGACCTCAGGAACCAGTATTTATTAAGGTTCCATGAGTCCTGGTAAAGGAATACCTTCTGGAGCTGGGGAGAAGGGTCCCAGGATGAACACGGTTGCAGATGGAGAACTGGCTTCAGAAAGATGTGGTCCTGATTAAGAGTCCTCTGAAACCACGACCATTTTGGGTCTTGGGGATAATTACAGATCTCATCCCCGGTGATGATGGTGTGATCAGGTCAGCTTGTGTCCGAAAGGGGGGCGGTCTTGAAGAGGTACACTCTTTGAAACACCTCTATTCCTGGAACTTTCCCTGACAGCTAACTGTTCTGCTGAGTTACCAACTAGTGGTACTGTGTCACCCCCTGGGAGTGCTTCGATTGCAGAGAGGGACGAGGATCCATCATGTTCTGCTGCCATCGATGAGGAGCATGTCTGGTTGTCTCCTGTGTGCAACTCTCCTCAGGGAAATCTGGACATGATTGGGTGTGATTCTTGTGATGAATGGTTCCATTTTCGATGTGTTGGCATTGACAAGGAGCCACCTAAAAGACAGAAGTGGTACTGCCCTGAGTGTGTGCCCCAAAGACGATGCAGGGATAGACCAAGTCTGCTTCCCACCTGATTGACATTGGCAATCGGTTCGCAGAGGCAGGCCATTCAGAAATAAGAACTCTCCTGTCTGGGGAGGAAGAATTATTGATTGGAATAGGGGTTTTCCAGTAACAGAAGCAATAAAAAAAACATTGCAATTAATTCATTTTTTTTTTTTTTTTTTTTTTTTTTAAATTTTGCAAAATACAATATTTTTCTGAAACATTATTTATGGAAAATTGTCAAATTTACAGCTAAATTAATAATTTGATATCTGAAATAATAATAAAAAAGATTAGAATATGAATTAATGTGGTAGCACATGTTCACTATTTTTTATTCAAGAAAAATGTATGCACCACGTGATTAAAATGAATGAATTTCAATTGTAAAATGCTTTAGTAATTTTTTATTAATTAATAGGTAGTATAATACTCTAGTAAATCTTTATTAATTAATACTTAATATAATAATGTAAATGAATACATTAATTAAATAATTAATACTATTAATTTAATAAAATTGTCCTACTTTTAAAACTAAATAAGTGTAGGGAGGGTAACAGATTTAAAATAATATTTTTATCAAAAATAATTTAATTCATTTGTCTAAGTCCTAAAAGTTTCAGTAAAATCCCTCAATTATATGAATTTGATTTTTTTCTTTTTTTTTTCTTTTAAATTTTCAACTCAGTGTGTTGATTTTCTGGCTTACTTATCTTTATATTCATTTTTAAATTTTCAGATAGGGAGAACAGAAGATATTTTGAAAGAATATAGCAGTGTCCCAGCTGGTCAACCAATTCTGTGTTGCCAGAAACTTCTCACAAAGTATATTTCACTGCAGATGATATCAAAATGGGCTACCCTTGAAAATGCTAGAAATGCTTTCCCTGAAATTACAAAATCTTCAAATAGACTAAAATTAATCTATTGCAAACATAATTCAGGATACAATTTCATAGAATTTAGAAACAAATGCACCCAGGTGGCACATTCTGTTGATGCTACGATATCTGTTGTCCCTTCAACTGCTACCACTTCAACTGCCACCTCTTCAACCATTACCACTTCAACTGCCACCTCTTCAACTGTCACCACTTCAACTGCCACCTCTTCAACTGTCACCACTGGCCACCTCTTCAATCATTACCACTTCAACTGCCACCCTTCGCCATTATCACTTCTGCCACCTCTTGTCACCACTTCAACTGCCACCTCTTCAACTGTCACCACTTCAACTGCCACCTCTTCAACCATTACCACTTCAACTGCCACCTCTTCAACCATTACCACTTCAACTGCCACCTCTTCAACTGTCACCACTTCAATTGCCACTTCAATCACCACCTTCAACTGCCACCTCTTTCAACTGTCACCAATCTTCAACTGCCACCTCTTCAATCATTACCACTTCAACTGCCACCTCTTCAACCATTACCACTTCAACTGCCACCTCTTCAACTGTCACCACTTCAATTGCCACCTCTTCAACTGTCACCACTTCAACTGCCACCTCTTCAATCATTACCACTTCAACTGCCACCTCTTCAACCATTTCAACCACCTCTGCAAACTTGCCACCTCTTCAACTGTCAACCACTTCAACTGCCACCTCTTCAACCATTACCCACTTCAACTGCCACCTCTTCAACTGTCACCACTTCAATTGCCACCTCTTCAACTTTTCAACTGCCACCTCTTCAACCATTACCACTTCAACTGCCACCAATCATTACCACTTCAACTGCCACCTCTTCAACCATTACCACTTTGCCACCTCTTCAACCTTACCTTCAAATTGCAACTGTCACCACTTCAATACCACCTCTTCAACTGAAACCTCTTCAATCCACCTCTTTCATTAACTTCAACTGCCACCTCTTCAAATTAACTTCAACTGCCACCTCTTCAACCATTACCACTTCAACTGCCACCCCTCTTCAATCATTACCACTTCAACTGCCACCCTTCAACCATTACCACTTCAACTGCCACCTCTTCAACCATTTCAACTGCTTACCTTCAACCATTACCACTTCAACTGCCACCCTTCAACCATTACGGGTAACTGCCACTTCTTCAACTGTCACCACTTCAACTGCCACCTCTTCAAACCATTCACCACTTCAACCATTACCACTTCAACCATCACCACATTACCACCCTCTTCAACTGCCACCACTTCAAACCTCTTCAATCATTACCACTTCAACTGCCACCTCTTCAACATTACCCTTTACCATACCACTTCAACTACCACCTTCAACCATTACCACTTCAATTCAACTGCCACCTCTTCACCACTTCAACTGCCACCTCTTCAACTACCTCTTCAAGTTTCAACCCACCTCTTAATTCATCTACCACTTCCTTGCCACAGCGCACCTCTTCAATCCATTACCACTTAACCTCTTCTACTGTCAACCATTAAAAGGAAAATGCCAAAGGTTTTTAAAAATAGCACCTCTTCAATCATTAAAGAATGCCACCCTTCAATCAAAACTGCCACCTCTTCAACCATTACCACTTAAACGCCACCTCTGCAACTGTCACCACTTCAAAAACCTCTTCAACTGTAGCTTAACTGCTTTGACCTCTTCAATCATTACCACTTCAACTGCCACCTCTTCAATCATTACCAAACCTCTTCAATCATTACCACTTCAAAATACCACTTCAACTGCAACCTCTTCAACCAGAAACCATTCAACTGCCATCTTAACCATTACCACTTCAACTGCCACCTCTTCAACCATTACCACTTCAACTGCCACCTCTGCAACTGTCACCACTTCAACTGCCACCTCTTCAACTGTCACCACTTCAACTGCCACCTCTTCAATCATTACCACTTCAACTGCCACCTCTTCAATCATTACCACTTCAACTGCCACCTCTTCAATCATTACCACTTCAACTGCCACCTCTTCAACCATTACCACTTCAACTGCCACCTCTTCAATCATTACCACTTCAACTGCCACCTCTTCAATCATTACCACTTCAACTGCCACCTCTTCAACCATTACCACTTCAACTGCCACCTCTTCAACCATTACCACTTCAACTGCCACCTCTGCAACTGTCACCACTTCAACTGCCACCTCTTCAACTGTCACCACTTCAACTGCCACCTCTTCAATCATTACCACTTCAACTGCCACCTCTTCAACCACCACTTAACTTCTTCAACTGTCACCACTTTCACCTCTTCAACTGTCACCATCTTCAACTGCCACCTCTTCAATCATTACCACTTCAACTGCCACCTCTTCAATCATTACCACTTCAACTGCCACCTCTTTACCATTACCTTCAACCAACTGCTTCAACACCTCTTCAACTGTCACCACTCTTCAATTGCCACCTCTTCAACTGTCACCACTTCAACTGCCACCTCTTCAATCTCATTACCACTTTCTTCAATCATTACCACTTCAACTGCCACCTCTTCAACCATTACCACTTCAACTGCCACCTCTTCAACTGTCACCACTTCAACTGCCACCTCTTCAACCATTACCACTTTTTACCTCTTCAACCATTACCACTTCAACTGCCACTTCTCTTCAACTGTCACCACTTCAACTGCCACCTCTTCAATCATTACCACTTCAACACCTCTTCACCCTCTTCAACCATTAACAATTGCCACCTCTTAAAACTTCAGTTTCAACCCATAATTCATCTACCACTCCTTTAACCACATTAAGGAAAATGAAAATGTTTTAAAAAAAGAATTATCACAAAAGATTGTAGAAGTTAGCGTATTGAAAAAAAAAAATAGAACTCCAAAAGAAAATGAAAAAATATGAGAAAAATGAATCTAATCAATTCACTTCCAGGAAAGCACATTATGATTGTCTCTTGAATTCATGAATTCAGTTCCTGCATCTCATGTTAGTAAACTGTTGAAGTCTCTTGCAAAAACTCTTTCGTTGCCAGCTTCTTATATAAAATTTTCATCTACCACTGTGTACAGAATAGTAGGAGAACTTGGTTTCTTTTCAGATGTAAAGACTTTTTCATCTTTGATAAATGCAGAAAACTGCACATTAGTTTTTGACTCAACAACACAGGAAGGAAGTCACGTCAACTGTGTTGTTTTAACAACCCCTTCAACTTCTCATCTTATCTCATTGGACCAACTTCCGGAAGGGACTGCGCTTGATTACAAGCAGCATATCTGTGACTGCATCAACAACTTGGCTAAAGTAGGCTCAATGGTTACTGGCCAAAGTGTTGATGACAGTTTAAAACAGATACTGGCAAAGATAAAATGCTGCTTAACTGACCGGACTCCAGTTAACCATTTAACCGTTTTTATGCTTGAAAAGGAGTGGGGGATGAAAGTAATGAAACTAAACTGCAATGTTCATCCACTGGAAGCAATTTTGTCAAAGACAAGGAAAGTCCTGGCAAACGTTGAGAAGCAGCATACCAAGATTGCAAATGTTACTGAGTGCCTAGCATGGAAAATTATTGTGGCAATGAATTCCCTCAGATATAGCAACAAATAAGGGCTGGTCAACACAGTGAAGGACTTCATTAAAAATAAAGGACTTCCATTGTCCTCATTCCCTAGATTCTGAGGGAATTGGCAGCACATAATTTTTATGCTAGGTGCAAATTATTTTGCAATCTTTAGGAAAATTTATCTTCACTCTTGAATCAAAGAATGAGACTGTTGCCAGATTGAAGCATCTAATCACAAAAGAAGTGACTGCGAAGATGCTATCGGGGCCTTGGATGAGTACCTTCTATACTGACTTGACAAAACAAAAAAATCCCACCGACACCATGAACATTGTCAAGGGGGTAATTGAAAAAATTAAGGTACTAACCAAGGCCCCGATGATGATTTTGTCCTCTGAGACTGACTTTTTTGGCAATGAACTGACAAAAAGTGATAGGGATTCTCTGTTGATTCCACCCAGCAAAATAATAGTATTTGAAGAAATGATAACTGCCTGCTTAAAAGGGATTGTGGAAGTGTTAAGCAGGCAGTATAGAAAAAAAATCTTTTTGTACTATAGAAGCTTCTTCAGTGTTGGTGCTAATATCAGTGAGGCAGCACACTATGCCAGCTGAAAGCATCATTGGTGAATTTTGTGAAAAAAAGAAGTTTGCGCCTAATGCTTATGTCACCAGCATAAGTGATATCACCAAGGCCAAGCAGAATAAAGTCAGAGAATTCATTGTTGATCTGGATGCTAAGCAACTCACTGATTATCTGAAGTTAATACTGACTTACAGCAGAGAAAGAACTACCAAGAAAAAGATTCAAAACCAAGAGCTACTTCATGAAATTTCACGGAGGATCAAAGAGAAGAGTAAAAAAGACGAGAATAAGAAGAGAATAAAAATCCAGGCAAAATTTTAAAAAATACAAGATGTTTCTATTGCTTCTCTGCAAATGGAATATGAAGAATATGCAGAAGGCCTACACAATATACTGACTGGTAACATAGTTGGCTATACCATCAGATATATTTGGACAATTGATGGTCTAAACCATGAATTTGTTGGCTTTATCAACAGTTTTGTAAATCCATTTTATGAGATTTACTATCTCAGTGGTGATATTCTCTACAATATTAATAATTAAATCTGGTGTAAAAATATTGCACATTTGGTTATAAGCATTACAGACTCGTTATGTCTGTCATTTTGCTGGTACCAGAAGTTCAGGGAGTTTGAATAATTGTTCCGTCTTTTCATCTGTCAGTTTAACTAGAATTTTTGTATATCTTGTTGGATATTTTACACATCTATTTAAATCTATCCATTAGCAAATAAAAACTCGGTTTTATTTATTAAGTTTTTAAATGGCTTCTTAAGTCATTTCTTACATGTTTCCTGTATTAAATAATGCTAAAAATATCACATCTAGTGTCAGGAATAAGATATTTGCTACTGAATATTTGATCTTGAATACCCAAACACTAAAATGCAATTTGTTTAAACAAAAAAAATAGTTCTTGCAAATAAAATGAGATTTCAAAATAAATAAGTAATTAAGATATGTAAGAATTTACCATTTTTTATCAGTTTTATCAAAATTTGTTAAATTTTTCTTGCTTTATCATTACACATGCACATACAGATATATGGACACATGTACATACAGATGCTCACACATATATATACATGTGTGTCTACACACATATGCATATACAGGCATACACACACACACACACACACACACACACACACACACAGGGATTTATGATTCTGTGTTTTGGTTGCATCATGACACCACTCAAGCACCAGGCCAATAATCTAGACAGCAACAAAATCTTTTTTTTTCTTTTGCTGTGACATTCAGACACACCCTGCAAAGATTCTTCTAGAATATATAAATTTACTAAGTTTTGGACGGGTGCCAAGAAGTCAGATTAAACACACCCAACCTGTAGAAACGTAGGTGGTTATAACAATCTCCATTCTGTAGCAGACTTTCATGTGGATACCAATTCCTGCTTGATGGGTGTAAATTCAACAAACAGATAAAGAAAGGTCAAAATAAACTGGTAGACCAATGTTTTGCAATAAATGGCCAAAATGTTGGTGAAGCATTACAATGAGTTTTCTATCCTGATGCATTGTATCAATGACTGACTAATTGAGATCTATACAAAACTCAAGTTATTTATATATCAAGCAAACACAGTAGCAATTGATTTTCATTGATTTTATTATTTTATCTTTCAAGAAGGAAAGCAATTATTTATGTTATACTTAATAATGCTTACATAATTTACTGCATGGCAAGTAATTTGTGAAGGGAAAGCAAGAAATGAAGTTAATTTTATAACAAACACAATAGATTAAAACAGGGCATTCATTGTCTCACTCTAGAATA